CAGCTCAAGCCCGTGTTCCAGAATAGCAGTATTGGGCACCTGTATTCTGACTGCAAACTGACCTTACTCAGGTGAGTGCTCCAGAGAGATAAGCAGGCCACGTGGGAGATGACCACAAGTCACCCTGCACCCCCTGTCCTGAGGGCAGCTGGCTCCCAGCTCCCATTCAAGTCCTTTCCTTCCAGAAGCGAAATAAAAAATGTGGGCTCCTTGGATTCTTTCCTTCCTGAGAGACAAGGAGGAATGCTTGTACTGAGCACTTACACAAATGTTAAGTGCCATTGGGTCTACACTGTGGCCTCATTTCACAGATGAAGAAAATGAGGTACAGAGAGGTTGGGACATTTACCCAGAGTCACCCAGTGAGTGAGTGGCAGAACTGAGATTTAAACAAGTTGACGCTGCCTTCTTTCACTTTGCCGAATTCCCAGATTCCTTTCTTCCACCCCTTTCATCCTGTTTCTGTCTTCAGGGCATGTGAGGTCTTGTTGCAGAGGTCATGTTAAAGTTTACACACACATTGAATTTTTTTTTTTTTTTTTTTTGGTACCAGGAATTGATCCAAGGGGTGCTTAACCATTGAGCCACATCCCCAGCACTTTTTTATTTTTATTTTTTATTTTGAGACAGGGTCTTGCTAAGTTGCTGAGGCTGGCTTTGAACTTGTGATCCTCCTTCCTCACTCTCCTGAGATGCTAGGGTGTGCACCACCGTGCCTAACAAATATCAACATTTATAGATGCCACATCCTCTTTGTAGGGGACCATGGCTGTCCTATTCATTTCCAGCCCAAGGCCACTTGATTGCCCAGCATTCCCCCCACCTTCTTGATCCCCTCCTTCAATGGAGTCTCCACCACCCCATCCCTATGTCCCTCTCTGCCCAGGCCTGAGAAAAACAGAACAGCTACTGGAGTGGACGCAGTCTGCACCTACCGTCCTGACCCCATGGGCCTCGAGCTGGACAGAAAGAAGCTGTACTGGGAGCTGCGCCACGAGACCCACGATGTCACCCAGCTGGGCTTCTTCACCCTAGACAGGGACAGTCTCTATGTCAATGGTGAGCAGCCTTTAGTAACCACAAGCCAAAGCTGAGAATCCGCACCTAAGAAGAGGTGCGGACTTTCCAGTTTGCCACAGACCTGTCCTGTGAATTGTCCTCCACCTAAACAGTCCCCCGTGAGTAACCGGAAGGCACCCATGAGCCCTCAAGTTTGCAAGTTTTTCTCTTTCCCTCATAACTCCACATTCCAGGGCTGTGACCTGCACCTGTGTGAGCCACAAAAGCCTTTATTCAAATGCATGAAAGAGAATATCCCTCTTTCGGAAGCCAATGGGGATTCCAGAGTCTGACCATTCACCTTTCTCCCCATCGGTGTCTCAAAATCCCCTCGAGATCCTGAAAAGCACAGCTTGCAAATATACACCATAAGAATTGGGGGATATTTATCTCCCCAAATAATTGCAAGCCCATGAAGACAGAGACTGAGTCTCCAGCTTTTCTCTTTTAGGAAAGCACACGGCCACTCCCAGATCCTAAGTATTCCACTGAGTCCGTCTGAAGCCTCTGCTGCAGATGGGGACGGACGGGCACCTTCTCCTGCCTGCACTCCAACCCTGTCTCCTTTTCTCGTTGCAGGTTATAACCATCAGGCCTCGGGTCCCTCTCTCAGCAGTGAGTACTTATCCTTGATGACCGTGTGCACAAACCTCTTGTGAACAGCTGAGTTCTCCCACCCTGGGTCCAGGGACATGGGGAGAAAAGACACCAGTGGACTGTATTGTCTCACCCACCCCCACACACTCGGTGGCCCGGGCTTGTCAGGGAGACTCATGGTGGCACCCGTGCCCAGCCCGGATCCCCCTCCTCACTCGGCTCTGTTTCTCCTCAGCCGCTGTGAGCTCTACGATGTTCCCAACGACTTCCATGGCGCACGCCCACCTCTCCAGCTCCACAGGTGGGTGACTTCCCAACCTCTTCCGGGAAGTCAGCGTGCACAGCCTCAAAGCGAGGACCTGGGAGATGTGGGGAAAAGGCCATGTGGGGGATGGCCGGGAGCTGCCACAGCACCTCCTGCTCCTCTGTGAACGCAAGAGCCAGGGGACCTGTGCTCCCCATTTCCCTAGCCACATTGACCTTGGGCTCTTGACTTACCTTCTTCACCTGCCAAGTGGAGCTATTAACATTTCCTGAGTTTGTTATGATTGTTCAATGAAAAGACAGTTATGTGCCCGGTGACAGCATTTCAGTCAAGGATGGATCACACATGGACAGTGGTCCATGAGATTATATCGCCCAGTGACACTGTAGCCATCTTACTTGTGTAGGTACACGCTATATGCAAGACCCTAGCACAGGGGCTGGCAGGAAATTGAGTTTGACAAGTATTTATGGGGCGCCTGCTCTCTACTGGGCGTGGAGATAAGACCCTGAGGAAATCAGATGTGGTCCTTCCCTGGGGTTAGTGCCCTGGGTCACCTGGAAGGTCCATCCAGGTAGAATTGATAATAAGAGAGAGCCTTAGTATTCAGCACTTCCTGTGTGTCCTCACACATGCTGTATTCTTTCAGTTCTCAGCTTTTCACTTTGAATAAATAATTATAGATTCAGGGAATGTTGTAAAAATAGTAGGCAGTTCCCCTAAACTCTTCATCCAATTTTCCCAGTGGCTACACCTTGCATAACTCTAATACAGTATCGAAATCAGGAAATCAACATTGTTAAAGTCAAGACCTCAGTCAAATTTCACTAGTTCCTTACATGCACTCCTGAGTGTGTGTGTGTGTGTGTGTGAGAGAGAGAGAGAGAGAGAGAGAGAGAGAGAGAGAGAGAGAGAGACCATTTTATCCTATGGGCAGATTCCTGTAACCACCCCCACAACCAAGAGACAGAACTGTTCCAGCCCCACGAGGATCTCCCTGCAGTTACTCCTGTACAGTCATGCTCACGCAGCCCACACCCTGCACTCACGGATCTGTGCTCTCTCTCTATGATTTTATTTTGAGAAAAAATAAATACAAAGGGCTGGGGTTGCCGCTCAGTGGTAGAGCGCTTGCCCAGCATGCGTGAGGCATGGAGTTCGATTCTCAGGACCACATAAAAATAAATAAATAAAATTTTTTTAAAAAAATGTTTTCTTTAAAAAAAATAATTAAATTCAAATATAAAATAAATGGAAATGGAAATACGCCAGTTGGGCCTTTGGGGACCTGCCCTGCCTGCTGCAAACCCTCCAGCTGGGTCCTCTGAAGTTGGGGCCCAGACTAGGTCTGCCATGCGTGAGGTCTCTGTTTCTGCTCCCCAGCTGCAGTGGCGGTCCCTTTCCAGCTGCCATTCACCCTCAACTTCACCATCACCAACCTGGAGTACGAGGAGGACATGCAGAACACGGGCTCCAGAAAGTTCAGCTCCACCGAAAGAATCCTGCAGTATCTGGTGAGAGCCCCGCCCACCTCGCTTGGCCCCGCCCACAACCCCCAGACAGGGTCCAGCCCCGCCCACCGATGCTGCAGCTCCTGCAGGTTTGTCTGGTGGTTCCTTCTCACTTCCCCTTTCCCTCCTCGCAGCTCAAAACCATATTCAAGAACAGCAGTCTGGGATACCTCTATTCGGGCTGCCGATTATCCACGCTCAGGTGAGAGCCTCCCCAGGAAAAACCTAGCTGCACAGGTGGATGGGACCCTAAGCTCTGGGCCCCCTGACTGTCCACACTTGGAACCACTACTGACCATGGACACTAAGCATCAACAGCACCACCAGCGGCTGTTACTATGACCCAAAGCGCTGTGCTGTGTATTTCCAGTTTCACATTTTGTGTATCCGATCAAGAGCCTCATGAAGCTGTTAGGGGAACAGAACTGAGGCTCGGAGGGAACAAGTGGCTTGTGGAAGGTCACCCAGAGCAACCCCAGTGCTTCAGGTTCTAGATCCAGACTCCCAGCCCTGGGGTTGTGCTGCCCCCTCTGCCCAAGCTCTGGCCTTGCAGATGTGGAAAGTCACGAGAATGGGGGAGGAAAGGCGAGCAGAGTGTCACAGGGAGACTCCCAAGTGGGCGGGACTCAGCCCTCAGGACCTGCCCTGCCTGGGATGGGTGGGAGGTGGGATGGACACTGTCCCTGGAGGGCTAGGAAGAGCAGGTAGCCTGGGTTAGAGACTACTGGACCTTTCTCGCCCACATCCCACATCTCTCAAAGAATCTCTAGGTCGGGCTCTGGAGAGATTCCTATTTTCTCATAGTCATCTACCCCCAGCTCTCCTCTCTTCCCAGGAAAAAAGGGGGAAGGGGGTCTAGTGGCCAAGGGCCTCAAAGTCACAGAGACCTGAGCTCCAGTCCCAACTCTGCTATTTACTTCAGTCTATGACTGTGACTCAGGCGAAATGCCCAAACCTTTCTGCTCCGTTTCCCCATGATGCATGCTTCAGATCTGTGGATTCAACCAACCATGGGTTGACAAGTCAGAAAAAATAACTGCACCCATTCTGGACATGTACAGACTTAATCTTGATTTCCTAAATAACAAAATATAACACCTAAATACAAGGACAGACAGTCTCTCTGTCACTAGGTATTAGAAGTGTTCTAGAGAGGGCTTAAAGTCTGTAGGAGGATATGTTGCATGCAAATACTCCATTTTATTCAAGGAACCTGAGCATTTAAGGATTTTGGTATCCCTGGGGGCCCTAGACTCAATCCCTGACAGATATTGCAGGACAACCACGTGGGAGGGGATAGACCTATGTGTGTGTATATATCTCATAAAAATAGATGTAACTAGTTTAATATAAATATTTAGGCACAAATATAATGTTTACCATCCTAATCTATAATATAATTATACATAATATAATCATATATAAAATACATAGACCACATATATTTACATATTAAGTTCATATTTACCTATCCCTAGACTATATTTTAAATCACATGTACTTGGTTGTATGTAATATAGAGGTTTAATCATCATTGTGGGAATGGAGCAACAGCAGCCCATAGGAATGCTTTAAAAATGCAGTGAAGCGACTGTGAACAGAGCACTGGGTCTGTTG